CTGCCCAACTTACTTACTCTTCAGTTTCCACCAAAACTGTTCATCGGGAGCTCCATATTTATGGACGGGCTGCTATAGCCAAACTTTGGTCACTTGTGCCAATGCCAAATGTCGGTTTCATTGGTGCCAACAGTGCAAATCTTGGGCTGTGGACAATGTGAAACATGTTCTCTGATGAGTCCACCTTCACTGTCTTTCCCACATCCGTGGGAGTTACGGTGTGGAGAAGGCCTGAAGAGGCTTAACACCCGGACTGTCACTGCCGAGAGTGAAGCACGGGGGTGGATCAGGATCAGTGATGGTTTGGGCTGCAATATCATGGCATTCCCTACTGTGCTTGATGGGCGCGTCACTGCCAAGGACTACCGAACCATTCTGGTTCCGGACCATGTGCACCTAATGGCTCAAACGTTGTACCCTGAAAGAGGAGCTGAGTATCAGCATGATAATACGAAGATGAACATCTCCCATGGCCTGCACAGTCAACAGATCTAAATATTTTTGAGCAACTTTATTTTGGAGAAGCAAGTCAGAAAACATTTTCCTCCAGCAGCATCACATAGTGACCTGGGCACTGTTCTGGAAGAGGAATGGCTCAAAATCACTCTGGCCACTGTGAAGGACTTGTATCGTGTATCAAAAGGAGGCCCAACACCATACTAATAATAAATTATTGTAGTCTAAAACCAGGCATTTCAGTTTCATTGTCCAACCCGTGTGTGTGTGTGTGTGTGTGTGTGTGCATATATGTATATATACACTGCTCAAAAAAATAAAGGGAACACTTAAACAACACAATGTAACTCCAAGTCAATCACACTTCTGTGAAATCAAACTGTCCACTTAGGAAGCAACACTGATTGACAATCAGTTTCACATGCTGTTGAGCAAATGGAATAGACAGCAGGTCGAAATTATAGGCAATTAGCAAGACACCCCCAATAAAGGAGTGGTTCTGCAGGTGGTGACCCCACAGACCACTTCTCAGTTCCTATGCTTTCTGGCTGATGTTTTGGTCACTTTTGTATGCTAGTGGTGCTTTCACTCTAGTAGTAGCATGAGACGGAGTCTACAACCCACACAAGTGGCTCAGGTAGTGCAGCTCATCCAGGATGGCACATCAATGCGAGCTGTGGCATGAAGGTTTGCTGTGTCTGTCAGCGTAGTGTCCAGAGCATGGAGGCGCTACTAGGAGACAGGCCAGTACATCAGGAGATATGGTGGAGGCCGTAGGAGGGCAACAACCCAGCAGGACCGCTACCTCCGCCTTTGTGCAAGGAGGAGCAGGAGGAGCACTGCCAGAGCCCTGCAAAATGACCTCCAGCAGGCCACAAATGTGCATGTGTCTGCTCAAACGGTCAGAAACAGACTCCATGAGGGTGGTATGAAGGCCCGACGTCCACAGGTGGGGGTTGTGCTTACAGCCCAACACCGTGCAGGACGTTTGGCATTTGCCAGAGAACACCAAGATTGGCAAATTAGCCACTGGCACCCTGTGCTCTTCACAGATGAAAGCAGGTTCACTCTAAGCACGTGACAGACGTGTCAGAGTCTTGAGACGCCGTGGAGAACGTTCTGCTGCCTGCTTTTATCAGTGAAGAGCGCAGCTGCTTTTCAGCAATTTGCCAATCTTGGTGTTCTCTGGCAAATGCCAAACATCCTGCATGGTGTTGGGCTGTAAGCACAACCCCCACCTGTGGACGTCGGGTCTTCATACCACCCTCATGGAGTCTGTTTCTGACCGTTTGAGCAGACACATGCACATTTGTGGCCTGCTGGAGGTCATTTTGCAGGGCTCTGGCAGTGCTCCTCCTGCTCCTCCTTGCACAAAGGCTGAGGTAGCGGTCCTGCTGGGTTGTTGCCCTCCTACGGCCTCCACCATATCTCCTGATGTACTGGCCTGTCTCCTAGTAGCGCCTCCATGCTCTGGACACTACGCTGACAGACACAGCAAACCTTCATGCCACAGCTCGCATTGATGTGCCATCCTGGATGAGCTGCACTACCTGAGCCACTTGTGTGGGTTGTAGACTCCGTCTCATGCTACTACTAGAGTGAAAGCACCACCAGCATACAAAAGTGACCAAAACATCAGCCAGAAAGCATAGGAACTGAGAAGTGGTCTGTGGGGTCACCACCTGCAGAACCACTCCTTTATTGGGGGTGTCTTGCTAATTGCCTATAATTTCGACCTGCTGTCTATTCCATTTGCTCAACAGCATGTGAAACTGATTGTCAATCAGTGTTGCTTCCTAAGTGGACAGTTTGATTTCACAGAAGTGTGATTGACTTGGAGTTACATTGTGTTGTTTAAGTGTTCCCTTTATTTTTTTGAGCAGTGTATATATATATCTATATATATATATATATATAGCCACTGAAGAATCCTATGGCTGGAGCCTATCCCATCCCAGTACCCATACATACATATGAAACGTACTGTATATTTGTACTTAATAAAATAAAAAAAGACAAAGAATTAAAAAGACAGTGGTTTCTTTATTTGCAAATTAATCACAAAAATATTGGCTACCAACAATAAAAAATATTAACAACAGTAGGTTTGATTGTACAGTCCAGATGATTATTTCCTTACAGTTATTTTATTCTACCTATTGATACCCTACATTATGATACAGAAAGCACAATATTGGCAGTGTGAAAGTCATTGGGACCCTCTGCACGTCTGTGAATGTGTCGATGTATAAAAAAAATGATAACTAGTTCATTCATATTTTATAATTTCTCTCTGTTCCATTCACTCAAAAAACAAAAGAAACAGGTTCTGTACACTGCGACAGAATTTTTTTAAAAACATAATTTGTGCTTGGTGCAAAACATCCCATTTTTACCAGGAAACACGATATTGCATTATTAGATGTCAGTTGTGGGTTTGGGAGCAGAAATACAAAACGATATAGAGAAAATGACCTTTTACGTGTGTGTGATTATGAAGAATCCGAAAGCAGCATGTAAGGTGCATGATTCTGTACCGCAGACAGTTGTAAACTACTTATATTTCAACCAAGAAAAACTATCTGTAAAAGCTACCGGTAATACAAAAATGCTCTGTGGACCCAAAAGTCTTCCTGTGGACTGTTGCAAAACCTTTGTGGGAAGTGATATCCTGGCATTGTACGCTTTTCCACTCCTTGGTCAACAACACAAATATTGTGCTTCTCAAGCATCATACTTTGAGGTCAATGAAGAAAATGAAGGGTTGTACAGTTTTTTTTACAAATAAGATCTATATTATAGAAAATAAACGCTCTGAGATACTGTCACTTCTCCAACTGTAATATTGCCAGACCCCTTCCATCCTAAAGCAGGGAATATCAGGGGTGATTTCTCATCAAACATTGTACTTTTTTGGCGCCTTTTCATCATTAAAAATACTTGACCGAAGGATGCACTTGAATCGAAACGCCAACCGTCTATAGAGGCACACAGCTGTTAGAGGAGACTGATATATGCTGCGCAAAAGTGAGTCTGATGTAATTGTGCATGGAAGTACGGAAGAAAGTGCACAAAAACCTTTCAAAGACAAATGAAAAACAGAAGGGAGCAAAATTAAATCCAATTAATTTGATGTTACACATAAAATGAGATTTGGGTTCGTTCCATGACTTCTCATCTCGGCAGCAAGAGAAATGAAATCCATTAGCGCAGTGGTTTAATTCAGCTCCAGCGACTGGGTTAAGGGGCTTTGTGGAGCTTTCCATGGATCGCCATGCCTGCCACTGAAAAGGCATCGTGTCTATTATATAGCATCCTAATTCCTTGCTTACATTCATGGGTGTAATTCCTACGGTTCAGTAGCAGTCAACAGTTCCTACAGAACACAAGTCATATAAAATGGCCTTTTAAAATGGTCTCTTGGCAGAGGAAATACATTCCAGGACACATTCTGATGACAACCCTGAATGAAAAGTGATTAGATGTTGTGATATGCTAAAACAATCACATAAAAAAAAAAAACAACAACAGAAAAATGGGTAAAACATTCATTAAAAAAAAAAGATTAAAAAACACAGGTGATAAAAGATTACTCTCGGGCAGGTTTTATGAATCACTATTAAAACGGCAATCCCCTTACTTAATGCTCCGGTGAGATTTGTGATATAATGCTAAAATAACACAAGGGTCCAGTTCTCACAGGGACATTCATCATTCGAATTACGATTAAATAAATCCACCCCTCGAGGGCGATCAAAACACATCAGCTTGTATACTTGAGTGAATTTAACCGTAATTGGCTTGATAAAGTTGCATTAAGGCAGTTACTGCACATATAACGGGCCAACAACATACCCAAATTTTTTACAGTTTCATATTTACAGTCACATTGATTATGGATGTAGCTTATCTGTGTTTTAGTACCACAATTTATCACGCATTATTAAGCTGTCCTGTGGATTCGCAACTAATAGCCATAAATACATCATAATGAAATTTCACCTTTAAATGTCACATTTTAAGCCCGGAGGGTGCAGCTGTAACGAATGGGCTCAATATCCTATGAAATAAAAAAAAACGTTTAAAACAGAAGAATGAAACTACAAGGCGAACAGCCTTGTGTTGTGCAACACAACACATGAAATGAGTGTTAAAATAGGATTTAACCAAGAAAACAAAGAAAGTCTGACTTTAAGGTACCACCCTGGCACTTATTTATCTGTTGTGGACTTGTGTATGTCCTATAGCTCTGTCAAAAGAGATATGTGCCTCCTCTCCCATATTGCATGTCCATTTGTTCTGACACTACGTCTCCCTGGTACTTCAACACACCAGAGAAGTAGAAAGTCTTTTGGAAGCCTCCCGTTGTGATCCCATGTTCGAGCGAGATTTGTGGCAGGTGTACCCCAAGGCTATATCCTGGGCACATCACTGTTCTCCAAAACGGAACAGAGCCACTAGCGCATCCAAGCCCATCTTTCTTTAGCGCTCCGTCGTGTCCTCTAGAAGCTCAGTTCAATGAACTGAAGGTCCTCAAAGCCGCTGAAGAAGACTTGACCGACCGTGGCCGGCGGCTGACAGGGGTGGACAAGAGGGCGAGTCCCCTTAAGAGCAGAAGGAGGGGTGTCCGAGTCTGACCAGTGTGTCCCCACCCCCCTCCTCAGGTTACCTGCTGTGGAGTAGCTCCTCCCTCAGCCAGCTAGGCAACGGCTGGCCCATTTTGTACAGCAGCTTGGAGAGCTCAATGTTGTGCTCATGGTAATACTCTCTCAGGAAGGTCCGGGACTGTGGAGGAAGAGGATGGGGTCAGTTTCTCTGCCAACATGTAATGTACATGTCATGCTAAAGCTATGTGTGGGCTTTTTTATTGTGTCTAGCATGAAAGGTCAATAGACATACATACATATCTACATATGCATGCGTGTCCGTTATAATTTTTACATTTAGATTAGCTTTGCCATTATCTGACACTCAGTTAAAATGAATATTTAAAAACACTAATCATTTAATACTTTTTAAAAAAATGTCATCTTTGGCAAATGTCAAAATAAATATCCATTTAATACTTTAGTACATTATAATGTTGTGATGTCAAAATTCACTTATTTTTTAGTCAGTGTATTATTTTCAATTTATTTAGCCTAAACAGTTTAGAATTTCAATCTCAGCCATTTATCAGCAATCATATGGAAATCATTACAGGACTTTTATTTCGGACAGATTTTTTAATCACAAATCATTTACTGACCACATGAATACATATTAAATACATACTGATTGATTAATACAGCACACTATTTTATTTTAACTTTTGTCACTTATTGACAGGAACAATATAGAGTGGAGAGGAAATGATGGTGCAAATGTGAAACGAGCAGGAACTTATTTTTATTTATTCAAACATCATCATAATCTACTTTTAAAATGGCTTATACCCTCATGCTAAACAGCTAAATATGTTTGACTGGACATTAGACCAAACGCCTGAACCTTTAGCCACTGCTGTGTGTGTGTGTGTTAAATAACAGCTCAAATGAAAGCTCTTTTTTCTAGGAGTGCTGCTGCTGCGACTGCGTCTGCAAAGCCACCACACATCAGTCTGTTCTTTCACCCCTCATTAACTTTGATGTGTCTGCCAAGAAGCCTCAAGGTAACATCAAGGTCTTCGGCATTCGACTGAGCCTCTCTTTATCATACTCTGTTAAAAGATACTGACTGAATCTGGGCCCTTCTAGAAAATACACCAGTCTGAATGACCCTGAAGTAATGAGAAAGGTATTCAGTGGCTGCAAACAGTTACTGAAAGCTAAAAATATGTATCGAAACATCATTCAAAACTAATTTAATTTCTGTAATGTGACATATTCCTGTATAAAACGGAATATTCAACAGGAAATACTGTAGGGCAAGATTTTGATTATCTGGTTTTAACTGGATTGTAGATGTTAATCTATGATTTAATTGGTTATTATTCTTTATTTTAAAATCTGATATGACCATTTAGACAATTTAATTAATACTTTTATTCAGCAAGGACGCAAAAAATTAGTAAAAAGGGCATTTTTAAAGTAAAAAATTGAAACCTTTTATCCATCTAAGAATCCTGAAAAAAGGAAACACAGGTTCCATAAAATATTAAGCAGCACAACTGTTTACAACACTGATAATAATAAATGTTTCTTGAGCACCAAATCAGCATATTAGAATGATTTCTAAAGGATCATGTGACTGAAGACTGGAGTAATGATGCCGAAAATTAGGCTTTATCATCACAGGAAAAGTATTTCCATATTTCAAATATATTAAAATAGACATACGGTTATTTTAAATGGCAATAATATTTCACTATATTTCTGTTTTCATTGTAATTTTGATCAAATACATGCAGCCTTGGTGAACATAAGAGACTTCTTTCAAAAACAATTTTAAAGATCTTACCGACCCCGAACTTTTGTACAGTGGTATATTTTTAAAAATCATGTTTCATGCAGTTTTTGCTATTGAGATATTAAACAAATAAAGAGATTAGGGTAAAATATGCCAAAACATGTTTGTCACCTGTATGAACAAGCTTCTTTCTTGTTGCAATGTCAATCAAACCGAAAAAGACTGGATTTGTTTAAAAACCAAACCAGGAATATGAACTAGAATCATAATCTCACATCAATGTCCATGTCAGGATATCTTCTGCCCTTACTCTTCCCCAGGCATTTGGTCTTCCCTCCATCTAGCAGCTGACACCAGAAGCCCTTCTTCGGGTCGAACCTGCAGCAAGAAAGAAGGCACAAAATGGAGGACGGACCGGCAGCTAAAAACAGCAATGTTTCAACATCAGCCTAATCAGAAGGGAACATAACAGACAGATGGAGCACAGCAAGGCCTCCTCCAGAGAGGCTGCCACAGGACAAACCATCTTTATTGTCCAGTGGGAGATGTGGCTGGCAGATGTTACTGCTTATGAGATTATGTGATACAGCATCAGAGGACAGAGACACAGATCGAGAGAGAAGTGGTAGGGGTTGAGTGGAAATAAAGAGTGTACATGAGGTGGTAGAGAAGGCTGGGAATTAACAAGCACTCTTGTGATCCTGTCAGACTAATGGGATCCATCAAGATGAGGAGACTACTGTGAAACACTTCAAAGCAGCTCCAAACAAAACACTTCAGGTGCTCAATAATGTGCAGCATATTAATGACTCTTAATTGTCAATCACAAAAGAAATGAGACACTTGGAGGTTTTGAGGACATGCTTCTTACGCAAGGATCTTGTGGTAGTTGAGCGTGTTTGTCAGGCCTAGAAACTTCTGGATTTTGTCCATCACTGAAGCTGGTTCTGTCCTCAGCATCTGTCCATCCAGGACCAGGATCTGAGAAGAAAGAAACAGGTTCATGTAAATCATAGAAATATTCTAAAAAGCACCACGTACTGATGGACATACATGCACTTAGCAAAATACCTGACTGGGGTGATAGTGTGTGAGCCAACGCTGAAGGTGTGTGGCGTAAAGACCGGGCAACAGACATCGGCTCTGCAGGACCCTCAGTTTGATGGGCGCGTCCCGGCCAGCAGTGATGACATCATGGAATGTGTATTTCTGAGCCACAGGATCATCATGGGCCCTCTGGTGCTGCAAAACAGCAATGAATATACAAATTCATAATACAAATATAGTGCTGTGGAAAAGTAAGTACACCCCATGAACGTAAAATCGAATTTATAACTTAAGACCTTTTTTTAAGACCTGCACAAATAAAATGCATATCATATGTCCATATAGAACAAACCCCAAAAATCTCACAATAAATCATGCATCTCAGAATGATACTGGATTTTGCTTATCAGATTATTGTGCCAATACTAGCTAAATCTATATACTGAATGTGTTAATATTATGTTCTTAGTCTTTTTCTCCTGTTACGGGCAGGAGAAAGATAAGAAGAGTTTATGTTGAGTTAAATGCCTGATTCAACTTATTGTGTAAAAAGATTTTATGTAATAAAGCGGGACTTTTAATTATAAACAAGCTGGAAATTCAACTTTACTTTTATCTCGAAATGTCTATGTTTTACTACTTCCAGCTGCTCATTCAAAAAGTTGAGGGAGATGATATGCACTCTTAAAGGGTACCTATTATGCAAAATTCACTTTTACATGGCGTTTGAACATAAATGTGTGTTGGCAGTGTGTGTACACAACCACCCTATAATGATACAATTCCACCCAGTGCTTTATGTTCAAATCCCCATAAATCATAAGCACCGTCTCAGAACAAGCCGTTCTCAGATTCGGGGCAATGTGACGTACTTTTGCACAAGCCCCGCCCACGACTGTTGATGGACACGCGGTCCGCTACAACAGGCTTGTACTAATAGTGGATAAAAGCAAGATGAAAAATAAGTTATAACTGTAATTAAACTAGACTATACCTGTTCCATTTCCATACAGCATATATTCTCTGACTCTCATTATTGTCCGACTCCGGGTCGAAATGAACACCGCTACTGAGAGTTTCTGTTTTGATATTATCAGATGAGATTGTCCTGCCACTGAGCGCGAGCTTGTGAAGCTCCGCCCTCTGTGCCGGCAGCAGCAGCTCATTTGCATTTAAAGGGATACACACTAAAACGATGCGTTTTTCTGAGCCCCAAAAAGGGACAATTTAAACATGCTGTAAAAAATGATCTGTTGGGTATTATACACACTCTGGGGACATCAGAGACTTATTTTACATCTTGTGAATAGGGGCCCTTTAAGTACTAACCATCTACACATTACAAAATAAAAACCATAAAATAATCATTGTCATAACCCATCAACAATAGATCATATAAAATACATAAATGTACGATATTCATTGCTTTTTGAAGGACCCTGTATTTTTCCTGTATTAGGATTTTACCAGTGTTAATAGATAAAAGGCAGTGCAATTTAACAAATGACACTTAATGTAATGTAAATTTTGTAATGATTTCTAGCTAGAGATTGCCATCATAACGGCAACTAAGAATAACAAATCATAATGTGAAGCATCAGTAAAATAGTTGAAGCTGAAGTGGACATTTCAACATGACAATGAATCAAAGCATGCAATCAAATCTGCTGCAAAAACAGCTTACCGTGTCTAACATTACAGGTGGACTTCTGGGAAAAAATTAATAAGCTACACGTGTAAAATAGGGGCTCTGTAGGACCCAGCAGAATGATGCCATTTACAATCGTCTCTGAATTACATATTTTTCCATTTTCTGCAGATCTAATCTACTGTCCAGAGCAGGCCTCATGGCCTTGGCTAACCCTGGATGACACATGAGCAGTTAGATACAGACCTGATACCAGGAATAGGCTCTGTCAGCTGGGTTGATAAGAATGGTGATGATTTTGGCTTTGGGCAGAAGAGCAGCTGCTCGCCGGGCCGCAACCTCAGAGTCGAAGTAGTTGGCACTTTTCTCGAAGTAGAAATCTGAGCTAGTGTTGGAGGGTAGAGGGAAATACTCCATGTACCTATCATTAAAAACAAACAATTAACATTTCATCTCATCCTTCCCTCGGGGCATTTTGACTTGAAACTCTTTTTTTTTTCTTTTTTTAAAGTGAAGTGTTCATCGGAAGGGGTTCAAGACCTTGAACCACGAACACACACACATTTGACTGGATTAAATAAACTAACAAATCCTTCCTTCAGGGTCAATTTGATCCCCTTAGGAATGAATGGAATGCGAGTAATGCTTCAGTACACATAGAAAAACCTAAAAATTGCTCAAAATTAAAACAAACAACAAAAAAAGCTAAAACTTTACCAAAAATGATTTTAGAATGTCTACATGTGTATCTGAATGCATGAAGAGATAAACTCAAGAACTGATTTAGGACCCAGCGGAACAGCTCATTTGCTCCATATAGAGCTATAAGGCCATCTAGTGGCAAGAATCATGAAAAATATTTTTTTTTTCCACAAGAGGTCGGCAGAGACACCCAAATAAAGCCGATGTGAGATATTTTGAGCTGGTTATTGCATGTACTGGAGTTATTTTGAGAGTTGAAATAATGTGATGAATGTGCTTAAATCATATTATTTAAAGATAAAATCTAGTAATTTAAAAGGTACATAAAATAAAAAATCCCCCAAAAAATGTAAAAAATAAAAAATGTAAAAAAATGTATTAAAAATGCATTAAAAATGTAAAAAAAAAAAATTTGACCCATGAGGGAAGGATTTGTTACAGAATGCAAGGAGAGGATTTAGTAAACACTTCTGAAGGAAACCAGATGGGAGAGACATGTCAGCACCTGTAAAAAAACATGTTTAATTATTGCGGCACCATTGTTTTTCTCTGTTTGGTGAAATGAATCTCCCTCTTTATAATCAGCATTGTTTTCGTCTCTTGTTTTTGGGATCAAACCACCACATGAACCATCAACTATCATCCTTTTTCCACAAACTGATTAAAGAGAAAAAGAAAGGCAGGAAGAGAGAGAGAGAGGCACTAGATGTACATCAGACACCTGCTTTCTATTAGTTACATTTCAGACTACTGAAAGGAAAAGAAAAAGCTGGTAGTCAAGGCAGTGCTGTGTTTTGAAATGACCCATAACACTTTCCTCTCACGGGAACATTAGCCTTCATGTCTCCTAATACTCTTAACTTCAAAGCATGCCAGACCTTCACAATCGATATACTTCACAGCAGTTTACAAGAGCTATTTACTATAAAGAACCCATGAAAACATGTGGGGGTTTTTTGCCTGTGTTGACGTACTCCCTATAGAAACAAGAAGTTAGGGTGCAGCAAAAATGAGTCGGTTTAGGGGGAGGGGACCTTCTCATTCTAGAAAGCACTTGACTGGACACAGTTGTGGATACGCCCATGAGTGCAATGTGATTAATTATTTAAAATGAATCATTTATGTCAAACATGTCAAGGCATGTTCACACCAACAATGGTGGAAAAGCTGGAAAAAAAAATATTCTGAAAGCAGTTCCATCGATATCGTTCCTCGGGCCCTGTTTACACCTAGCATTAAGATGTGTTTTGGTCGATCACAAGTGGACGAGGTACTTCCAGGGGTAGTTGAAAACGCATTCGACCAGATTGCTTTTGTGTAAACGCTCATGTGGTCGAACAGCCACAAAAGACTGTGTTCTCGCCGCCTGTAAACATTATGGGAAGCGTGCTAGCCAGACGAGGTTTAAACTTTGTCGGCTGGAGACCCGAGTTTGGTTTGAAAAACATACCAAGAACAATGTTCTCTCAGACCATTGCTGTTTTCTAACACACTCACAGCATTCGTCATGTCTTGCGACTGTCAGAGCAGAAATGAAAGCTGCTGCTCTCCGTCTATCGTTTCCGGTCGCATCATATTTAAAGGGATAGTTCAATTTGAAATTAATTGAAATTAATTAGGGCATCCAAGATGTAGGTGTCTTTGTTTCCGCAGTAGTTTCGATTTTGATATTTTTAGGTCAAACCGTTATTGTCTGTCAGTCATATAATGCAGGTCTATGGTCACCACCGCACAGAGAAGTCCAAATTAAACATGATTTAATGACTCGTAAATGTAAGTACACATTGATGGCCTAAGACATGAAACGAGCGGTTTGTGCCACAGGCACGTCCAAGTGATCTGAGGGCGCGGGCGCTTCGGTCTGCGTCTGCGCAAGCGCCGGAAAGTGATCTCTCTGAAAAAATTCAACGTTGTCTGTTGATATATCGAAATCGTCTTCCATTGCGATTTTCTTTATATCTAAATATGTTTAGATCTTCACAGTGAAAGGTAACACTTCCGAAATCTCTGTATAAACAATGAGTGACATACACACGCGTGAGATCACTTCCGGCGCTTTTCGGCGCTTGCGCAGACCGAAGCGCCCGCGCCCTCAGATCACTTGGACGTGGCTGTGTTTACAAGAGGTAAAAACGATCTAAATACTGTTCGTTTTCTCACACAAACCGCTCGTTTCGTGCCTTAGGCCATCAATGTGTACTTACATTTACGAGTCATTAAATCATGTTTAATTTGGACTCTGTGCGGTGGTGACCATAGACCTGCATTATATGACTGACAGACAAGAACGGTTTGACCTAAAAATATCAAAATTGAAACTACTGCGGAAACAAAGACACCTACATCTTGGATGCCCTAATTAATTTCAATTAATTTCAAATTGAACTATCCCTTTAAATATGATGCGACCGGAAACGATAGACGGAGAGCAGCAGCTTTCATTTCTGCTCTGACAGTCGCAAGACATGACGAATGCTGTGAGTGTGTTAGAAAACAGCAATGGTCTGAGAGAACACTAGCATATTGACACCTTCATACTTAACAACAGATATGGACTAAAAGACACAAAACTCAATTTTTCATTTTATTTCATGGAGCCTTTAAATCATGCATGATCCTGAAGAGACTGCAGCCAACAAAGTTAAAAGTATGGCGGGAAGATTTATGTTCAAAATATCACCACATACCAGTCAATGCCTTTGTGGTAGTTTCGGCCGTTGAAGAACTGGATTTCTTCAAAGGTCTCCTTGCTGGGGTAGTTACTGGTCAAATCGGAATGCATGCCCAGAAACAGATAGAGAGCAGTAGTTCCTGAACAAACAAGACAGCAGTGAGTGAACAGGTCTACTGTCACATGATCAGGTTTTACACACACTCATTAAAGCAAAACATTCTCACATTCATATCAATTTTTTATATAATGTTTCACTCAAATTGTCAGATTGATTATATTTGTAACAATTGTTTTTTTTTTTTTTAATAAAAAATGTCTTTACTTGTTGTATCAGACTTTTGGACCTCACTGTGTCTCATTCTGTTATTGAGCTATCGGTGTAATTACATGTTCATATGTAGTATAAACCCAGAGTTAAATTGGGCAAAAGGCAGGAAATGTCTTGTGTAAGATGTGATAATGAAGGTTCACTGAAATTATGCTGTTTACTAAATAGACAAGTCTGAGAAGTAATAACAGTACAAAAAATAATAATAACTGACCAAATAAAATAAAGTCACTCTAAGGCCCAACCCCCTAATCTAAATTGTATTGAGAGGATTAACACAGCCATTTTACTACCCACTCTAAGAGTGGGCTATTGCTCCCTGAAGACATCTTTAGAAGTTTAATTAGTCAACGCTGTAAAACTCAAATTCACATTTACTGAGGAGCAGCCAGGGTTGCAGTAGAAAAGCCTGCACTCTCCCAACCCAGTGCACACTTAAATCAAGGCCATTGTCCTTTATATATATATATATATAAATAAAGCATACCTATTACATGTCAACCACAGCCCTAATCCACCCCCCATAATTGAGTAATACATTTAGAACACATTGAAAAATCTCAAAATTATTTTTCAGTACATCATTACAAAGTTGTAGCCATTAACAAATGAAATGAGATAAAAAAATAAAAACCCATATAATGGTTAATTGGTTAAACATAATGGTTGTTTGTTTATTGAAAAGATAATTTATAACCTAATATTCTTTATATAACCTATATCTATATTATTTGATCATATCAAATATTGATAATCTTAAAATGGCCAAATATTGAATCACAATCACTGCTAACCAAAACAATAGTCATTAAAAAGAAAGTTTTACCATAACAAATATTAGGGATGTCCCGAGGCGATCTCAAGGATCAGTATCGGCCGATTAAGCATTGTTTTAACTGATCGGTATCATCAGCTGTCATGCAGGTGTCGTGCGGTAGGTGGCGGTATGCACCGTCATTAAACTTTTACTCCAGAGTGCAGTCTCTGGAACCAATCTCACTGCTTTATAATACAGCAAATCTTATTGGATTTGGCCGCATTGCAGAAATATTGAGTTCTAACTCTAGAATCGTATCTTATTGTCTGTTTAGTATCCATGGTAATTTTAGTTTGGATCTATTGGCTAATGTTTTATTGTTTACAAAAGAACGCTTGGTGACGGCACCTCCGGGTTCTTCAGGCTGAATTGAGCTGTTTTATACAGTCATGGCCTAATAGTAAGAGAGTCAGACTGGTAACCGAAAGTTTGCAGGTTCGATTCTCAATAACGGCACCTATCCCCCAATCGCTCCCCGGGCGCCACAGCAAAATGGCTGTGTGTGTGCACGGTTTACAGTATGTGTGTGTGTTCACTACTCACTACTTCTAATATGTGTGGACTAACTTGTATGGGTTATACAGAGGACAAATTTTAAGTATGGGTTACCATACTTGACTTTCACATGTCACTTTCACTTCACTATGCAAGCGCTTCATTCATTTGGCTTAATATTCCCAACAGGATCGGTGGATCAGAACAAACGATAATTCACTGTATTTCAGCAAGACATCGGACAAACACGAACATAAGCGGCTGATTTTACATTTTAAAGCACAATTGTTTTGTTTTTTAACAAAATTATTTGTTGTCCAATGCTTCACTTTCATTACCTAGTGCTAATAAAATGTTTTCATGGCAAAGTCATGTTTTCTTTTTTTCCTCATAATAAAATTATTTGGGCCTATATATGGGTTAACATGTATATCTGTAACATCAGGTAATAAAAATACAATTATGTATGTATCCACCCCCTCATTGTGTGTGCAGTGCGCATGTTATTAATATCTGCTTATTTATGGGATGAAATGATCAGCACTCATTGTATAGTCATATAGACGCATAACTAGCAAATAAATAAATAAAAAAATCACTAAGAAGGCGAGTAAAATAGACCTTTACTGTGATTAATACTACAATATTTATCAAGTGATAACTATCAAGTGATGACTATAATGAACTACTAAAAAAAGCTAAAAGGGGTATTCAGTATATACCGGGTAGTTCTATTTTACAGTGATTCCTGTGGATTATAGAGAAATGTAGCCTACACTGGTTCTTTTTAAAAGAGCCACAAAACCAGTTATTTAATTTGTGCATAAAACTATATAAAAAAGAAAAAAATAATAATATTACCCAGCAGAGAAGTGATATGAACATTTATTGCTTGCAGGGATAGTTTACCCCAAAATTAAAAAATCATCAATTAGCCTCACTATACTCACCTAGCCTGGTTCTACCAGACTCTCGCACATTTCATTTGTACAGAGTCTGGCACCGCTCCATTGACAATCGTTCCTTGTAGGTGGGTACTCTATTAAAGTCTAAAACTATTGGATCTGCCCAGAGTCACTCTGGATCTGCCACCAATCGCTAACGTTTGCTCGTGATGTATGTCGAACCCCGTGGGGAGGAGGGCCACAACATCATGGCCAAAACAAAACTAAGCAAAGATTGTTCTTGCTCCGGCTTTAACTTCTTGATATTCGGCAGCGTTGCTACAACGGACAGAATGCCTTTGCTCGCATGTTTCTCCGCTGCCATTAGTGAACTACAACTCAAAATAACGCACGACGTCATCGTTCTCAGCCACTCCCTCTGTTCGCTGATTGGCCCTACAAAAAATTGATCGGAGAAAACCAAAGTGTACAGCAGAATCCCAGACCTAGTACTGAAGGAAAATGAAATTGAGCGGAAGTGCGTAGGAGGGCGCAGCCAGGCTAATACTCACCCTCATGTCAAGACTTTCGTTTATCTTCAAAACACAAATGAAGATATTTTTTATGAAATCTGAGAACTTTCTGTCCCTCCATTGACAGCTACGCAACTACCACTTTAACGCTTCAAAAAGTTCACAAAGAGATCGTAAAACTAATCCATATGAATTGAGCGGTTTAGTCCAAACTTTCTGATCTCAAGATCCAGAGTTTGTGCTTATCTACTGATTCTGACAAAAATATGAATCCGATGCACTCCAATGACAGTGAATTTCATGCAGACCTGCTCACTAATAGTGGCAATGATTTATCTGCTTTATCTGCCAGATAAATTATTAAATGCAATAGCTGAATCTCAAACAGTGGATCACTTATATCAGCAACACATCTCATCATATCAAAGCATTAAGGCATTATATAACTTTGTGTAAAGCTGCTTTGAAACAATGTTTATTGTGAAAAGCGCTATACAAATAAACTTGACTTCACTTGATATACAGTTAGGTCTATATTGTAGCCACGAATTAAGAATTTGTTCCCCATTTTTTTAAAATAAAAAATCCTCCCCATCCCCCCAGCACATCACACCCTGCCTGTATGTATATATATACACATGTACACTGGATTGATTTTAATAAGAGAACATATCTGGCCAACACAGCTAGATGGTGCAAGTGCGCACACACGTGTGGATGTGTAGCGAGCAGAAAACACTCACCAGTCTTCTGAGGTCCGATGATAAGCAGCTTGGGGAAACGGTCACAGGTCTTCTCCTTAGACCAGATGTCTTTATGTCTTTTGTCCTCACAGGGGTCCTGTAACGGTAGGAAATAAGCTGAAGTGAAATAGTACCCATACATCACTGAAATGAGCACCTTCACAATAAAAAAACACTCCTGTGAGTCTACCGCAGTGCTTCAATAACCAGCGGGAAATTATTAAGAAACTGGAGAAATTGTTCTCGTTCCAACCAGCATGAATATGAAAAACTTGGGAGTTTTACCAAATTACTCAGGGCAAGTAAAAAAATTAAGTCAGATTGGTAGGATGTCCAAAAGTTCAGGACATGCTCAGGAAATATAGGAATTAGGAAGCAGCCTGAGCGCTTTGACTCGGATTTAACGTCAGCCGGAAAAGTGCATTATGGAGGGAAGGGCTGTTATCCAGCCAAATTAAAACAAACTAGTCAAGCATGTCAAATATCTTACAACACATCAGCAGAGTCCAATAACAAGCAGATTTTATATTAATCCAGACTTAGCCTTTAAACTCGCCACAACAACATCCCAGAGGTGGCCGTTTTATGGGATTCACCAGATACAAATCAGAGGCACCTACCAACCCCTGTCCAGAGCTTTGAAGCATCTCAAGAGAAAGACGTCCTGCAGCAGACATTTTGAGCCCTTCATCAATCACAGCCGAAGATGCAGGAAACGGTGGTAATGAATTAATAGTTTTAACCCTTGCCTCTAAATTAAAATCTGGCACGAATGCAAGATGGTTAAAACGGTGGACCGAGACTTAAAAACCACTAGCAATCCAACACTTGTTCGTCCTAATGAGGAGATTAACGGCTAGCGCCCCGCACTAATGACCGAAGAGTCTTGCTTGAGTCCACGCCAGTGCTAAAAGCAACATTACTTTACACATTTGTGAATTTATTACTAATGTACTCATGGGATCACAGTTTATGATAACAGTAAACATGAGCTCTGTTCCAAATCCTACCTTGACAGCACTTCAAGCCATTGTAGGCACGATGCGAAGGCTGTCCCAAAATCCGAAATGCACTGGGACTTGTTCAATAAGAAACTGGTGGACACACTAGATGGTGGACTGTGAATGGAACGCGATTGATAAATATACACTACTAGTGTTGCACGATATAGCGGTACTAGAAAGTCATCGCAATACCCTGCTATTAAAACGGTACGATACCACAATTTATTAGACATGCTGGTCATGTGAGTTAAGTTTTTTTAAAATAAGTTATAAAACAATACATTTTAAGTTCTGTCATATTATTCAATTACTTTTACATTTTTATTTGCTGTGGTATCGATTCAGTATCCGTATCGAGGTATTTTAGTTAGGTATCGTATCGAATAATTTTGGTATCGGACAACACTATGCACTACCATTGAAACGTTTAAAAAAAAAAAGAAATTACTACTTTTATTCATAATATTTTGAAATACTATATTTTTTTAATTATATTTATGATCAAATAAATGCAGCCTTGGTGTACATAGGAGACTTCTCAAAAAACATAAAAAAAATGGTACAGACCCAAAACTTTTGGACGGTAGTGTACCAATTCATTCAATATATTATTATTTTTTACTTTTACTCACTATGTGTATGCAGAGTATTTTTAGGCTTATTATGAGTATTGTGTTGTTAGCTTAATAATAAGCTTAATAGCTCTTGGAATCAATTTCAATCAATCAATCCGTTTACACCACACTAACACTAACTATAAAGATAACTGTATTAGCGTCCACACCAGCGGACGATATTGTTCTGTTTATTGTAAGCGGGTGATTACAGCAGGATGGATTCTGATTGGCTGTCATTGTTTTTATCGTTCATCAGCTGGATAAAATCGTTCTGAAAGTGATTCCAACGATATCGTTTCTCAATGCCGTTATCGTTATAGCTGTGTGGTGTGAACCCTACTATTCTTTAATATTGAGAACGATTTTAAGAACTATATCTTGTAGTCCTTGGTGTGAACAGGCGTTAAGGAGAGTCTCATGTTCAAACCAAAACAGGTCACCAGCCACAGGCAAAATTACCTGTAGTGAAAGATGATAATTTCCCACCCTAGTTACTACCTTAGAACATAGCTGCCCATGTAGGACGTACACATAAAAGCAGCTCGCTGGTTTTTGGACCAGAGCCATGGGGGCATGTTGTATTAAGTCTAAAATAAAAAACTAAACTCTTTCCAAGTTGTCTCTTTCCTCTGCATGTAATAGCAGCTAGCAGATTTCTTGGGAAAACAACTGCAGAAGAAAGAAGATTATTCAGAGCAGGGCAAGCTGTGGAACGCTGGAGAGCCGACAGAAAAGATGGGACCTCAACCTTGACAGGAAACGAGAGAGATCAAAAGAGGGATTTAAAGCTTTCAGGCACCCACTTTCTCATTCTCTAAGGGTGAAACAAAACAACAGAGTTAGAAAGAGTGAGACGAGAAATAAAGAAGCTGGATAAATTGAAATGGGGAGAGCGAGTGGAGGGGGGGAGATACAAAGAGACAGACAGATCTTCTGCATTGCCTCCAACTTTCAACTGAATTATAGGAACCAATTTCAAAAATAGCGTTCTCTGATTTCCTGGCAGGCTACACGGAAAACCATTTTCACTCTTTGTACATCAGAGTAAATGTGCAGACAGCCATTCGAAACCTTTCGCCACATATTACGGCAAAAGTAGTCAACACTCTCAACCTCCGCTGATCCACTCCCACTAAATAAAGTTGTATTTGTTTCCCATTATGATCCCAGGACAGAACAGACCCCCAACAGAGCTCCTTTGTTACCTGCCAGATGGGGTCCCTCTCTTCAGGGAAGATTTGGAAATATCTCTGTGCCAGCTGTACAGGTGGGAGGGTCTGCAGTTTCAGGTTGGTCCACATCTGTATGAACTTCACCAAGTTCTTAAAAGTGTACAGGCCAAGACGGTCATTCCCGTAGTTGGACAGGTGGGTCATGAAGATGCTGATCTGGTTCAAAATAAAGCGTAAGAAGTCATGAAGGCCCAATCCACAGATTAACGTCCCATCCTATGAACAGTTGACTTCAAAACTACTCTTAATTCAATGGATCTTTTATAGCCTCTTAGTGTGCTTCTTTTTAAGGACGATGTTTAAGATTCTCCCATTGAACATCTGATGTGAGGGTGAAAATTACATTGGGACTGACCCCCAAAGGTAGTTAAAATATTGGGGGAGGGTCTTGTGCTCACCAATGCTGCATTTATTTGAAAAAAAAAGAAATACAGTAAAAACAGTAATATTGTGAAATATTATAATTTTCTATTTACAAATTTATGTCAAAGCTGAATTTTCAGCATCATTATTCCAGCCTTTAGTGTCACGTGATACTTCAGAAATCATTCAAATATGCTGATTTGATGCTCAAGAAACGTTTCTTCTCATTATCGATGTTGAAAACAGTTATGCTGCTTAATATTTTTAATGGAGACCATGTTTTTTCCCATGTTTTTCAGTATTCTTTGATGAATTAATGGTTTAAAAAAAAAACGCCATTATTTAAAATAGAAATCTTTTGTAACATTATAAATGTCTTTACTATCACTTTTGATCCATTTATTGCATCAATGCTGATTAAAAGTATTGATTTCCTTGGGTTGTGAGACATTTTGAGATCTATAGTACATTGTGAGTGCTATATAATTCAATTGATCTTTCATTGAAAGCATCAATAAATAAAATAATTAAAAAAAAAGTATTTTTGTTTAATAATGAATATGCTACTCACAATCCTCAATAGAAATAAGGCATACTGTGCATATGCAAATGAGATCTGAGAGCTACAGTGTGCAGGAAAGATTTTCAGTGAATAATGACTTTTTAAAACATTTTCTTATCAACCCCAACAGACCATGCCCCAAAAGTCATTGTGTGATTCACACACTGGTTTAGAAATGATAAAGAATACAAGTGTCAATACTCACTGGGTTGAGGAGGACAGTGAGGAAAAGCTCTCCTCCATTTATGAGTTTGTCCAGCTCTTTAGAGCCTCCAGGATACTCATTGTAGAAGATGGTGTGAGTAAAGAGACCACAGGTCTGCCTGGGTAACACCTAAAAAACAGATTTTTCTTTCAGTATGTAATCTCTTAATTTAAAATAATCCATTTTCAATTGTATTTACAAAAAAAGCCATATATATATATATACACATCTGATATCAAATTAAATTTCCATATAAATGTTTACAATTTCTTTTTATCATATATTCTACACATATTTTACGCTTTTATAAAAGCTATAAGGCACATAAATTAGCCTATTACAAATTTGGTAACACTTTATTTGAAGGGGTGTGCATAAGACTAACATGACACCTTCATAATCATGACATGACACATGTTATGAATATGAAGGAAGTTGTATGCATGTTTGTGACAATTGTCATTAAGTGTCATTCGCTCAGTTATGACATTTTTAATGCAAATATGACATTGTTTGAAATGTCTTTGTTATGACACCTTGACATAAACAAATACATCATAACCTGTCAGTGTCGTTGTCATGACAACTTGACATTACTAAGACAACACAACCTGTCATAAACATGACCTAGCAGATTAATTATCAAACTTAAGAAACCACTTAGCTTTATTGGTTAACATTACATTAATCTGTCAGGTAGTTGGTGTTGACATTGGCTGTCATGAAGCCATTATAACTTTTTAATGACAAATTCAATTTGTACCACTGTAGTTGAGGTCACGAAATATATTCATGACACAGTTATAATGGCCTTATGACAGCCAATGTCAAAACCAACCACATGACAGTTTAACTTAATTTAATGTCAAGTTGTCATGACAAAGACACTGACCGGTTATGATGTTATGGTTTATGTCAAGATGTCATAACAAAGACATCTTAAACAATGTCATATTTGCATACAGAATGTCATAATTGAGTGAAAGACACTTAATGACAGTTGTCATAAACATGCATAAACCCTACTTCATATTCATGACATATGTCATGCCATGGTTATGAAGGTGTCATGTCAGTCTTATGTACACCCCTTCAAGTAAAGTGTTACCACAAATTTTAACATGGTTATGGAGCTCTTGTAGGCTTACTGATGTATCAAAATATAAGCAGAATTGTTTGTTTTTGGTTATAAGGTAAATGTAGCTGTGGTGCTCCACATGTGCAAATAGAGAAACATATTGTATTTCATTACCCATAATACGTAATCTCATTTGAGAGTCACTTTAGACTGGAACGGAACTGAAAGAAGTTGAAGGAATGATTTTGCACTAACAAAAAGAAGAATGACGTGGCCCACACATGATCTTATTTGACAGCCAGTGATGGTAGAATCGAGAGGATTTACACTAAATGTGCTTTTTTAGTCATTCTTCCGCCATTCTGAAAGCATTCTTTACATCATACATGTACGATGAGACGGCTGTCTTCGTTTCCTCATGCACGTTTATCGTTCCCTGATATGAACATTGGATAATAACTGTATGTCAGCTTGAGGAAATGTAAGATGTGTCTTTAGAAAAAAAAAAAAATCCCTGCGGTGTATGAATCCCAAGATGATTTTTTTTTTTTACAGAATTGGGCCAATGCATTCTTACACACACACACACACACACACACACACACACACACACACACACACACACACACACACACACACACACACACACACACACACACACACACACACACACACACACACACACACACACACACACACACACACACACACACACACACACACACACACACACACACACACACACACACACACACACACACACACACACACACACAGAAACCGCTCTGTCATGATTCAGCAAGCTTTTGTCATACGCTCTCTCTGTTGTCCCCTAAAGCGATGCACAAATGATAAAAATATATATTAATATACAAAATTGCACTTCCACAAACAGTTTGCCCTTAACCCCCTACTGGGATTCAAAGCTCAAACCGTACACAAAATAGCCTGGGGTTTATTGTACTGATTTAAGCCCGAATAAGAACTATCGTTCAACCATTTAGCTGTACAGGCTACAGTCTCAATAAAAATGTGCAATCTGTTTTTATCTACATAAATTTGTGCCTTGGTGCATTGGTAGTGCATATGTTTTGGAACATGTTAGCCCCAGGGATGCAGGTTCAAGTCTAGGTTATTTCCCAAACCCTTTCTCCCTATTTCTCCCACATTGTCATCTTCACTTTATCCATTAAAGGCATAAAAGCTTAGCATTCTCTTACACTGATGCCACTGTGTGCGAAGCCCCTGCGAAAGCGTGCGGGTTTGAGGTGGGGATACTCCTCTGTACTGGTCACTTTGATGCCCCACACTTTCTTCCAGGCCTCGTAAAGCTGCAAATGGATGGGATACACTCCAGAGTGATGGGGAGCCACTGCATAACCCATGTTTGTGGGAATGCCATGCTCCTGTAAGGGAACAGCAAACACAACCACAGTAATGGTCAAAAATAGTGTACTTCAGGATATGCACTAAATGTACATCTCTGGTGAACAGAAAATAAGTGGTTTTTGATCAGTTCATGGTGTTAAAATTGTGCTTTGATGCCACATTCTATGTGCATTTGAATGTGATTTGTTAATTTAAAATTAATTACACCTTAACTTTGAAGTGTGTACATTTTAAAACTGCTGAGACAGCTACTGCCTACAATATCTTGCTAATCTTTTACAACAAATGAAAGAAAAATAGTCCTTCACAGGGCTTGTAGGCAATATTAGCTTAAACGGCATGCTTGGATTGGATGCATCCATGGATGCACAAAAATAAAAAATAAAAAAAATAAAACTATATAATCCAGGCACTTTCAATGTACTGTGGGCCATGATGTATTTAAGCCATGCTAATTCTAATCTTGCATATATAGTCAGTCAGTCTATCCAGGATTTCGCAATTGCAAGCACAGATTTGAACGCAAAAGCAAGCAAACTCCGCAATAAAGCTTGCAATTTTTTGAAAATGCTGCGGATTTTCCACAGAATTTGACTTAAGACATGTCGTGTGACGTCATTACTTGTCATCATTTACCAACTTGAACTAACATCACTGTGTTCTGTTAAACTGCAAAAAGACAGATTAACATAAAACTAGGTAAAACAAACAATGGGCACTATAAAATGAAAATGTCAATGTTTTTGTTTTCGTGTTAAATTTGAATGAAATGAAACGTAGAAAATGCATTGTATCTTCAGGATTTTATTTTTAGAAAATTAAGAGACCAATGGTTCTTCATGTCAGAAAAGTAATAAAAATGTGTATTTAATGTCGTCTGTGGTGTACATAGAAAGTGATTAAATTATGTTTATTTAGAAGGTAGTAGTTTAAAAGAAGAACCCTGTTCTTGCCAATTCAAGTAGTTTTCCACCCCCCAAAAAAGAAGAGAAAAAACGCCTCGCAATATAATCGTTAAATTTGAAAAAAGACATCACAAAATGATCATTTTTTTGGCACATCACAAAAAAATCTCTGCGAAATCCTACATGGACTGTATAATGGAACTGTTATGTTGGAATGAAATATCAATATATCACAATTTTCTTTCAGACAAATGATTTGATCTATAAAAAAAAACACTCAAAATATAGACAAATTGTAAATATCATCTACAGACATAAAATAAATAAAATTAAAAACACTAAAAGGGTTTTATCTAATTAAAAAATAATAATATCCAAGACAAATCAGATCATATCTCTAATTATATCAACTAGAGCTTACCTCCGCGAACTTGCGGTTGAGCAGCATTTGTTCAGCCAGCACAGACTGGTTGTGGAAGAGGTGTGGCTGCATGTGACTCCACATGTGGGGAAACCACCAGAACTCTTTACTGTAGGACAGAAGCAGGTCATCTCCGAGATCCTCCTCATCTGTGCCTGGGAAATAATTACACAGACACAAACGGTGAACATCTTGACTCTATTCTAAAAGCTGCCTTATAAAACAGCATCCTAACCAGCTCATAAGTGACTGATTAGGAACGCTCTACATGAGCAGCAACTCACACACAGGAGACCTGACTAACACTCACAGATACCAAAAGAGTATGTTGTTAGCATTTTGAAAAGCAACAACAACGTGATATTTACTTACCCGCATGGAAGAACTTTCCAGAGAATCCCAAGTTGAAAGTAAAATTGGGCACGTGGGTTCGGAGTTCATTCTGCGTCTCTAGAAGTGCCTTTGAAACATGGAGTTTAGCAATTTAATAAAACTTGCCTAAACACCCCTAGGTCAATATACACACAAAAAGTACAAAGACAGCAGATGAGAACACAAAAGAGATATATAGCTTAACACACGCCAACGCACGTATGCGCACAACCGTAACAGCGCTAGAGGGACAGCGCAAGCATGTCTGCTGTCTGTTCGTCTCCTCTGTTTGCTTCATTACCCTTCTCAGATTTAGCTCTGCATCTGCCTCTCATTTGATTTGTTTACTGTGCTTGTTTTTGACTGCCTGTCTCTCCAGTGTGACTCAATCAAAAGCCTGATTCATATTTAACTGCACAGAGGTCCACAGACAGACAAGACGTCTTTGATTATGCTTGCTTTCTATCCTTTCCCTCGGCTGAACATCTGCATCGGGGCGCACCGAAGATGAGAGATTCACAAGAAGGATGCAGAAAACTCCATTTGAAATATTCATGCTTGTGGCGAGTCTTTGGATGCCCTTTGAACAGTGAGTCGTGAAAAAATAATAAAATAAAGCGAAAATGGAAAGAAGAGGAGAGATTTGGAAAAAGAGCAGCAGAGGTTGGAGAATTGAAAAAAAGAAAAAGACAAACTGGTTATAGGAAAAGTGCTTTCATACCATGAAAAGTTAGTGAATTATATGGATCTACCAAACCAGTTTCTCCATGTTCTGCTTCTGAGGTGCTTTAGACAGATTAGCATCATATAAACAAGTCTTTCCCCTTCTGAGTCTTCATCAATGTCTTTTTTTATGGCTGCTGGTTCTTTTCCTCAATGCATATTTCCCTCAGTTTAAATTAATTCCCTTCTGTACATATTTCATTCTGTCCATTTACCATCCTTTCTTTGACCGACACATAAGGATTTGTTTTCTGCAGTGAGCCAGAAATGAACATTTACACAGATCCCAGCAAAAAAATTATACATTTTCTCCCACCACCAAAAGATTATATTTTTAGCAACATATTATATTTAAATAGATGTATATTAGATCTTTGAATAAATTTAATAAATCACATAATTGAATAATAATGGAAAATTTAAATAATAATAGTTCATAAAACTTCATTTTCTGTGTCCCGCTCCATCTCACGCACAGAGGGGCTCAAATCACTCGCACATGCGCTGTTGTACGTGCACCATCCGCACGGACACAAAACTTAGGCTGCACCCAACAGTGTGTGTGTACGTCCGTGGACCTTCCTGATGACAAAAATTACGTCACACGGACAGTGCATGGACCGGCGCGGGACGCGGACGGTCGAAGTATACTTTGGGCTTAATGTATGTATTAATGTATTTCTGTACATCACAGAAATATCTCAACGCATAAAAATTTGATTAAAAACATAGGACGCAGTGGGCAATAGGGTAGAACTATTCTGTCAATTGGCCCGGAAATCTCTCACATGGGTCCTTATCCATTCTTACTGTTGAGGCCTACTTTCACTCTATGCATATGCCTGGAAGGATAAGCCGACAAGGAGTGGGTGAGAGAGGGATAAAGAAAATAGGAGGAGAGCATCATTTTTAAGTCAATGTATACTGCATGGATATATGGGCCATAATCCAATACATCCAATCATAGCTAGACTTAATATAGTTACACTTGATACACATTTGAAATGTATAAATGTGATGGAACTGATAATAAACTAGCAAACCAATTGCTATTTATTAAAGAAAAACTGCACAAAGCGAATTTTCGAACAAAAAAGCACCCACCTTGACGTCAGAAACCTTCATCCGTGTGCCCTCCTTCCCAACAAAGATGTCATCGACATCCACCAGTATGTAGCGCTCAAGAGCCAGTGAGAGACGTTTGCCAGTCAAGAAACTCACTGCGTCCACCAGCACCAGTTTGTGCAGCCAAAAGTTCAGGTTGTTGCCGAAGAGTACCCGCTGGATGCCATCATGAAGACCCAAATCCTGAACCACGGCTGCATGAAGGGGTCCGGGCGCTCCACTAGCCTCCGTACTCCGTCCCCGAGCTAACAGCACAGGCTCATAGGTGGTATGGTTAGACTGGAAGACAGTCCAGTCATCTCCAGGTAAGGGGCCATGTTCCACTTCCCGGGCCTTGGTTATGAGCAGCAGTGGAGACTTGGGGTTGACGCTACAGTCCCTTAAACCCAGATTGGAGTGCAGGAAGAGAGGAAAGCCCTTGAGCTGGGCACTCTGCAAACTGTTCTCATTAGCCTTTCATGAAGTGTCGGAAGAAAAGAGAATAGATGAGAAATGATTGGTAAAAGAGAGGAAGATCAAAATCCAATTCAAAGGGGTCATATTCACATTCAGGTTTTTAGCATTTTATTCATACTTTTAGTCATAGTCATAATTTTGTATTACAAGACCATTATCCATATTTAATGTGATCATGGATGTGATGTCATAACCATTTTTTAACAGCTTAGACTTTGAGCTGAATTAAATTCAGCATGAGTTTCCAACTTCCTACTTGGAAAGGGTAATGGAACTCCACTTAAAGTGAGATTTCTAACTTGTAAAAATATGTTCAAACTCAGAAATCTGATTTTCAGAAGCTAGTACAGCATATCATATCCTCAATTTGGTTGCTAAGAGAAAACTTTGTCGAGAAATCAAACACCTGCAAAGCTAATGTGTCGACATTTTGCTTCTTTCAACATTGTTTGTAAGCGTGCAGCAATGCAGGCCTTCTGTAGTTAGAAAAAGACTAGATGTACAGTGAAGGACATTTGCTTTGTGAACAGATTTTTTTGTTTGTTTGTTCCCCTTGAATATATCAGAAATGTATTGCTCATGTACTTCTTTTCGTGAATTAGATACCCTGTGGTACTATGGGTGCCAGCTTGTTTAAACACCATCCGCACTCATCTGCATGCAGCCCACTCTCCTCTCAGGCCAGCTGACCCTGTGAAGCTGGATCAATTGGTGATAAACTGCACACTGAGTGGAACAAACACAATGAGCCTTACAATTTAGAGAGAGGCCTGTATCCTGCTCATCTCCAAACACAGCCATTATTCTGCCACCAGAGGTAGCAATGGGACCCCTCTGGAGAGACACACCGTCCATATGACATGTCTGATGAATCATGCACATTTTATCTGTTTCTTTTAATGGCAACACACTGAAACAAGAGGTGGTGATGTCACTCAGCAGCACTAGGAGAATAAGGGTGGATGGGAGATTTTCCACATATCTGCGGCCTAAATCAATAACTTCCCTGAGCCTCTCCTTCTCTCCCTAATTCCATATTCCTGTCTCCATTGTTACAGCAACACGTCCAAGCCAAAGGCTCTTTAGAAGCTTATCAGCATTTAACTTTCATTGACACTGAACAATTCTTGAACCATGTTAGATAATTAGTCCATTTCCAAAAAGCTGTTAAAAGACTTGTAAGCCACCTTGTTATCTACTGCCAACATAAGCAACTCCTTTCTAAGGGAGTCACTTGGAATTTCCTAAGTGACTGATTTGAAACACTACACTAAGAAGTTGATTACAATCGTTTGATGTTAGCATGTTGCTAAGCTAACTACACACTTTTCTAACAAAAACACACAGTAAACAAATATTGGGTAAACATTCAATTAGAACTATTTTTTATCATTTTTTTGGCATTGAACTAAATATAAGCATACTTAAAATCAAAAACTCTGGTCTTGTCTGAAAGTTCAATCTATTTATTTTCCTACTGAGCTGGGGTTTGCTTTTCTACATAGTATACATGTGATGCTGCCTTTAAATTTGGTAAAAAGGAGGAATAGTTTACCGTCATTTACCAAAAAAAAGGTAACAGCCTTCATGTTAGGCATCTTATGATCCCTTAAAATGCTAGGTAGTTTTGGTAGGCAGCTCACTAGGTTTTAGAACAGAGCTAGTGTGTTCGGTTGCTGCCGGAGACTTAATATGGTCCCTAGAGATTATGCCAACTCAAGTGCTGGTTAGGAAACCAAAAGGGTTTATTCCAATTACACATTGACTCTATGGATATGGGATTATGTCAGAAGACTAATAGGAGGGCAAACAAAAGCCTGAACCCATTGATGCATGCAAGCATAACTAAAAGAAGCGCTGGTGTCCATCGTGATGTTTCTATGTGTGCATTCAGACATCCTCCAACTCGTGAGAGATAAATGCATTTGGCATTGACAGGTGCAAGTCAAGGCTTGATGCGAAGGTAATTATGCATGTTCCATTACTAGTGGCAGCACTTTTTCCTTCAAGGGGGGAAAAGGTTTGGTCTGCATTTACCTACAGGGTCTGTTATCAGACATGCCCAAGGTTCTAAATCAATGAAATCCAGCAAGGAAAGGATGTTAACTGCCTGGACACGAAAACAACATTTCCAGCCAATCAGGGATCGAACTGCTCCTGTTATTGTGTAAACCACAAAGCCTGGGGTAAAAAAAAGCTTAGAGGAGAATCGGAGCAGCCTGAGTCAATAAAAATTAACGAGCGCAAATTTTGTGCGGTTCCTTAAGATGTGTTGATGTCCTCGCCCTTCTGCTGCAGGCAAGTGAGACTCAAACAGTCTCATCAACTGAGTTAACCTCCACTAACAATTAGTGTGCAGCACTTAAGCATGGGAGGGTAATAAAAGCAGGCCTGGCCTTAGGCAAACAATATATGAGAACTGGGAGAGGAGGTTTACAAGACGGTAATGACAGACAGCAATGAGCAATAGTCAAATGTGGCTCTAGGGCCTATTATTTTCTCATACTGATTTCAAAAAGCAGCTCCCTTATAGAACAAGAGCCAAGACCATCAACAAAGACATTCAGAAATGTGCTATTACTGCAATGTTTAGCATAATGCCCCAACCTCCCTCTGCTGGCAATATTTCTGCAAACTAACATAAGAATCAGACTGTGAAATGTCAGTCGTGAGATCGTTAAGTGCAAGGTGATTGACCCACAGAAATTAAGAGTCACATTAACATCCATTAGTGACACAATTTTCTGTGAAAGGTCACACTGTACAAAACAAAATGGCTTACCTTGAAAAAGCCGATGATTCCAACGCCATACTCCACACAGTATTTGTCCAGCAACTCTCTGTTCCAGGCATCCAGGTTGACATATTTGAGGATGTTCTCATAGATGACCAGTGTGAATCGACCCCGGTTCTTGTCTGTGAGTGTGGGCATATCGCCCTTCCCTGGTGCGATCTCAGTCTGGTATCGAAATCTCCCAGATTCCAAGATGGCCACAATGTCCTGGCCCAACTGAGAATACAAGCTCTCCACGAACACCAGTACAACAGGGTCAGTTCGAGACATGTCTGCCGGTTTGGCGGTTCTGGCAGGCAGCACCCTTGCAGACGGAGGGGAAGGAGTCGCTCGGGGATCGTCCCAATCGGCAGTACCTTCTTCTGGGACAACCATACCTCCGACTCCTGCTGGTTCGAGCTCCCGTTTGACGCCATACAGGAAATAGGCTGAGATGAGGACACTGACCATGCAAAAAAGGAAGAGCAGCAGCAGGCTGGTCTGCAGCGTGAGCTGACGGAAGAGCCGCCTTACACGTCCACACATCAGCATCATCACCTTGCAACCACACCAATTAGGATAGACACAGTCTTCTATTTACAAATATATTGTATGGTTTTTCCAAGGAGTCAAAAAAGATAAGTCAAAATTGGGCTTCTCCTTAATGCATTTGCTCATGTCACCATTGCAGAGGGTGGCGAGACTGGGTTGGGCAGGGGACTGCATGGGCGAGGTGGGCTTCCACTCTCCAGCAAGGGATGTGCACTGCCCCCACATGCACCAGCGGCCCCCTGCCCTACACCTTTATGCCACTTCTCTACCCTCTCTGAGTCCTTATCTCCTGATCCAGTGTAGAGAAGATCTGTTTCTCAGACTTGGTGAAGGTGGCTTCTTGTTTTTCGTCACTGGATGCTCTAGACAGATCATGCCCAGAGCATTCTGGCCTCCTCGAGTTTACCTAAAAAGAAAACAGTGTTAATTGAACAAAAGTACACCTTAACTCAATGCAATTTTTGCAAAAATATCTACTCTGCACCATTTTAGGAATCAATTATTTTACTTCTGGACAGAACAATCCTTTAATTTAACTCTAAGGTGCAACTGTGTATTCAAGGCAATGAATTTTGACTAGACCACACGAGCAACTTGTTTTACCCCTCTCTGAATGTCGGCTGCAAATGCCAAACCCACATGATGCCGTGGGAGCCCTACAACCTGGGTTTCTTTTCACTGAATACCAAGAACGTCTAGAGAGGCATTTACAAAGGCAATGCAAAGATTATGGGATAATGGAGGCGGCTTGTATTGATTAGTGAGGGCTTTAAAAAGTGATCCTCACTATCCTTCATGCACTTCAAAGGGCAAAAGTCATTTAATCTTTTCATCTTAAATGAAGGGTTTAGTGCAAAGTGTGGCACAGGTGAATGAGTTGAATATGATTCAGATTAGCACTAACCAAGTAAAGACCTCTGCAGAATGAGGAGAGAACCAATGGTGATTGCTGGAAGTAGTATTGAAGGCAAAAGGTGAGGGAAGCCATTCAATTGTTGGCAAGCGTGAAAGGATCTTGCAAGAGGGTTCATGCAAGTGTAACTATAGGTGTTACCTAAAACTTTCAGATATTCCTTATGTAACTTTCAAAAACATTTTGAACAAGGCTACATAAAATCTTGTTTCAGACAAAAGGACGGTAGAAAGTATGAAAAGTCAGCAAACATAGCAGTCAGCAGCTGATTTAAAGCCATTCACATTAGGTAGACACCTAAACAAATAAAACTGACTTTTACAGACGTCTTCTATGTTGAAGGACACAGTGTTTTTAGGTTTTTGTTCACTTTCAATAAAATCTTTTCAAAAGATGCAGAGTTTATAGACATGCCATTATCATTGGCCCACATGTCATTTAACTAAAGGGATAAGCATACAATGGCACACAGGGCGTCTGAGGAAAGACTGAAGTGAATCAACAAGACACAACGTGTATGAGAAGCAATACAGGTCAATTTTCAAAGGCATCACAGACCTACTTCATGTATGGGTTATGTGAAAAGGGAGAGTAGAACAAAGAATCAAAGCCTTGCAGGGGTTCTGGGATAAAAAATGCATGAATACCACAAAAAAAAGGCAAAAGGCACAAGAGTATGCCTCTAATAAGAGGATGAAGGGGAAAAGAAAATCTTGCCAGAGAAATAAAAGAGCCTTAGAGAAGGTCATTTTATCTCTTCAAAAGGTTGCTGGGAGTACAGCATGTAAAAATCCTCTCACATTCACAATCCTGAAACACAGCTGTTGATTCTCATGTCTGCTTGTGATCCAAAATTCTCATCAGGAATTTTAGGGGCTGGTGACGTTAAGAGAACATGAAGTGTTTGAGCTGAATACTGGGGAGGCATTGGGTTTTATAAACCAAAAAGACAAATCTAGGCTGCATTCCACAAGGGACACTCAAGAATAATGATTTTGCACCCAGTAGCTTCACATCTCCTTCCATTTACACCAGGATTACTCTCAGGCCACAATACCTGTCACTGGGCTCTCATTGTGTCCAGCAGAGAAACGTGAACAGCCATCAGCGTGTCGTCAGAGGTCGGATTACAGTCTTTAAAGCTTCCCTATTCAGAGCCTGGTTCTTTAATATGCAAAAGTTCTGACAAGAGTCGGCTGAAGCAGCTCACTGTGTAATGCATGCTCTAAACAGTATGACTCGGATGACATGAAGCACGATATCCCACACCCAGAACAAAAGTCCAAGGACACAAAATGGCTTTGTGGCATACAATATTGTTTCACTTCAAAAGAACAATATTCAATAAATAAGTCTTTATTAATAATATTCATAATACAAATATTACTATTAATAAATAGCAATATTATTATACAATTATACAATTATTAATTGTAATAATATTATTAGAATATAAAAGGGATAATGAAAATCTGTCATCATTTCAAGTATAGTTTCAAATCTGTATGAATATTGAAGAATACTGAGGTCCAACCATTGTACGAGTATGGACAAATGCAAACACTTTCTAAATAGGCTCTCAAAAATATTTTATATTCCACAGAAGAATGTCATAACAGGTTTAAAATTTTTATTTATATGTGGGTGAACATTTATTTTAATTAGGCTAGACTAATGGTCATATTGTAGATGAAGACGGTTAGATAAACATTTGATGTGTACATATCTAGATTATTGTTACGCTGAAGGTCTAAAAACAGAGATAACTGCCGTAAACATATTGCACAAATAAACAAAAAGCTGATAGGTTGAAGCAAGAACAAGGGATGAAAAAAAAAGTGTTGAAACAAAAGTGTCAAGACGTGGAAAAATAAGGACCTTGACATTTAGAAACCTGTCATAATCTCACCCACGCCAGCAAGTTTCTTCTGTCCCAGATCTTCCCTTTTCATGGTCTCAAAGCCCAACAGACGTGTGAAAAAATGCACCCTGCCTGGGAGTCACAAAAGCCATTTTCTGATGGTAGGATAGCTTCCATAACACTCCCTATCTCAAGGGCACAGCATACCTTCATTCCCAACAGCTCACACCGTTTTGTCAGCTCTGGCTCTTTCAAATCCATTCGAGTGTTGGTAGAATCATGAGCCTAGACAATGCTCAACAACTATTATATTTCAAAACACAGATACAACATTTAAAATAAAGTTAGATTAGACAATATAATGCTACCGAATGCTGCCAGGGCATGCAAATGTTTAAGATTTATGTGCTCCCAGTTATGAAAGCAATAAAACCAAGAGACTGGAAAACAAATCAGAACAGCGACATCTACATGATATCTGGAAACGGCACCAAACAAACAAACAAAAATAGGGGAAAAAAAGCAATATGTCTGGAGTGGAAAAGGCAGAGGATATCAATATGCACGGGTGTTTTTGAGGGATCTACTGACAGGTAAAAAGATATGGAGCCATCAAATGTTTATCTGCACTGTCTCCACTTTCTTGTTTTATTTCAAGGCAAAGTGAAGGTATAGATTTGCTGCTGCGATATAAAGGATGGCATGCTTGAACAGCTCTGAACACCGAGGACACATTCACTGCCGCTCAGAGACACAGGACACTTCCTGGAGCAAGAGTTGTGCATCTGCGTGCCAGGACAGCGGGACAATAGCTGGCCGCTCGCCCTGGACAGCTCGCCTCGCAGGACTAGTTTCTACCGAGCTTAAACCACAGGCAGACCTAAAAATCAAAAGAACCCCACCCAAATCGGTACAGTGCCAGTCAACGTTCACAATGCCGGACATTGTTCATAGCACATGATGATGATGACGGCGACGGCTGCTGTGGGGTCCGTTCATGCTCATGAATGGAAGTAGTCAGACTGAGACTAATGCTGGCACTGACCACCCCTGTTCTGTTACAAGTTCGGCCTAAACCTACAATAAGAACTTTCCAAAGCCTGAGTTTGCCTGTCAGTAAAATATTTGTGTATTTCATAAAAAGAATAAATAAAAAAAAAACATATACTTGTTATTACGCTCAGCTGACGCTGAAAAGAAATACGTGCCTGTTAATTCACGATGTGTCAATGCACAGCGCAAAAAAAACATACCCAAGGAAAAAAGCTAAACAGTCTAATTTGTTAGAGAGACAAATCACCAGCTGCAGGTCACTGGGAATGAACTCAGCCAGATGAGCAACATTCAAAACGTTGTTGACTTCAGGATGATTGCGTCTGTAAAAAGTGGAGAGTTGTTAAAAAAAGAAGAAGAAGTGTTATTCAAAAGTTTTTTTCTTCTGTTAGAAAGGCTGGTAGATTTCCAAGACTTCATTATACAAACTAATCTGCTCAGCTTGCGTCATCTTTGTTTAGGTAGCATCTTTCAAGTCTCTCAACATGGAGCCAAAACAACTACTACCTAGTCAAAAACACAGCTATCAAAACGAACGTGACCTGCAGACGGCCAGCCACATATCTCAGAACATTTTCCTCAGAAATGGCCACTAACCCAACAAACAACTTTCTTTATGAACACAGTCATCAACACCATCACATCAGTGACAATTACCACGAGAGAAAGATGCCGTGTTATCTGTCTTGACTAGGGTTACTTAAATTACAAAATTCCAGAAGTCGGTACTAATACCAGTAAAATTTCACGGTTCTCTGTACCAATTCCGGTACCATAGCAAAAACTGTTGGAACTATTTTACCATTTAACTATTTGAAAATAAAAATATTAATTCAATTAAATAAGTTTATCATTTATGATGACAATAATTGTAAGTAAATAATACATTCAACCAACACGTAGCCTTCAAATGTTTACAAGTAAACATTATATGTTGGCCGTTTAAACGTCGGGCCATTGGTGAGCGTCTGTCGGGCTAGTTTTGCAGTGTTTTTCACACGTCGGCTCTAATTGGTCCACGTCGGCTGGAGTTTGTCCGATTCAGAATGCTATCAGTGAGAGATATCGCTCTGATTGGCCGTTGAGTTTAACGAATGAGAATGGCGCAGACAGAAGGCTGTTCTAATTGTACGTCATTTTACCTGAGCATTCTAGTGCAAAAACAAATTTCATAACATGAGCCGTCTGGAATGAAGAAAGTGATCATGACTGAAACTTATTTTTAGGGTTAACTGGATGCTGTATTCTAATCTTAAACCCAAAACTGAAGATGTGAGGAGACAATTTGTTGAAATCTCAAATTTTCAAAAGCAATGGGCTACAACGAAAAGCTTTAAAGTTCAAAGACCATGTTCAGTGATAAATATCTAAATCTGTCTGAAAGGGAGCGCCAGCGATTCCCACTGCCAATGTGTTCAAAGCAATATTTTGCTTTTATAGTTAATAAATAGCTAATAATGATGAATATGGGATGCCACACTAGCAGAAGAGGACATATTTTTGCCTTTCTGGGCTTTTGGCTTGATGTGAACCTATCTGACATTGGTCTCAGGTCTCGAAAACTATGATGCTGGCCTGA